GGGTTTGCTGACAAGCAGGTCATACCATGGACAACTGGGTGTGGTCCTGCCGGGACATCTTAGAGAAAGCATACAATGTGCACGGAATTGTCCCACCCTGGGCAAACACTGGGCTGTTTTTTTTTTTTTTTTTTTGAGACCAAGTCTCACTCTGTTGCCCAGGGTGGAATGCAGTGGTGTGATCTCGCCTCACTGCAACCTCTGCCTCCCGGGTTCGAGTGATTCTCCTGCCTTAGCCTCCGGAGTAACTGGGACTACAGGTGTGCGCCACCATGCCCAGCTAATTTTTGTATTTTTAGCACAGATGGGGTTTCACCATGTTGGCCAGGATGGTCTCAGTCTCTTGACCTCATGATCCACCTTCTTTGGCCTCCCAAAGTGCTGGGATTACAGGCATGAGCCATCACGCCCAGCAACACTGGGCTATTTATCCTCCATGTCCTGCTCATCATTTACTGAAGGGTGCACCTGGGGGACATCAACGCTCCAGCATCTTTTGGCCCTTCATGCTGGCCCTCAGAGAAAGCCTGCAGGTGGAGCCTCGCAGGTTTTTCAGGAGGAACTTGGTGGTGAGTGCCAAGAGGATGTGGAGGGGCCTTAATTTCTGTTGTTGCTGTACCAGCATCACGCTTTTACTTCTGCTAATTCTTTAGAGCAAGTCTCAAAGCCATTAGACGGTACTGTTCAGAGTGTGGTCCATAGATCTGTGTCACCAACTGTGTGCTACCTTTCAAAATGAAGAATTTGTAAATCACTCCCTTGCTTGCTATAAAAAGTCAGCTGATCCAGACGGTGTGCCTAGTGATGAAAATGGATTTGTATCCTGGTGAACGCTCCTAATCATATTGCATACTGGGAATGAACAATTCACAGACCAGCACATTATGCCACACTGTGCTCAACTCAATGAGATCCCTGAGGAAAGGTCCCAGGCACATTCATCAGGGCCTGGCACAGAGTCTAGTTCAGAGGAGGCACTTGGTGAGTCTGTATTGTCCCATTGTACAGAGGAGGAAACAGGAACATGGAGGTGGTGCGATAGTGGTGTTTGTCCCCTCCAAATCTCACATTGAAATGTGATCCCCCACTTTGGAGGCAGGTCCTAAGGGGGGTGTTTGGGTAGTGGGGTGGACCCCTCATAAGTAGATTAATGCCCTCCCTGTGGGAGGAAGTGAGAGGAGTGGTTCTCACTCCGTTAGTTCCCTCCAGAGCTGGTCGTTAAGAAGAGCCTGGCACCTCCCCCCACCTCTTTTGCTCCCTCTCTTGCAATGTGATCTCTGCACACACAGGTCCCCTTCTGCCATGAGTAGAAGCAGCCCGAGGCCTTCACCACATGCCCCATCTTCTAGCCAGCAGAACAGTGAACCAAATAATCCTCTTTTCTTCATACGTAACCCGGTTCAGGTTATGTATAGCAACACAAAATGGACTAAGACAGGCAGCCTCCCATCTCTGGGGCTTGGTGCCTCCAAACCTCGATGCTGTCTCCTGCCTTGATGGATCCACTCGGGATAAACGCTCTCCTAGGAGGGTGCTACCAATCAGATTCAAGTTCAGTGTCATTCCCTCTCCCACTCTAAGAATTACGTATTAGGCGGTGTCTATTTCTAGGGACCACTCATGCAGCCAAAGCTCTTCCCCACATCTGCTCCTGCCTGGACCAGGTTTCATCCTATTCCTAGTGGACACCCCTGAACACTCTTGATGCTGATTCTATGATTCCACCATGAAATGGGAAATCCCAGGTACTGAGGAATTGCCTTTTGGTGGTTAGTCTTTTCAACCACATAAGGCTGGCAAAGGACTCAGAAACTCCTGGGAGTTCCGGATGAAGAAAAACTTTAATTGTTACAGTAACTCATGGACAGATGAATGGGAGAAAAGTCACAGAAGAATGGTGATGGGAAGTAGAAGGAGTGGATAAGGGCAGAAAGGAGAGAAGTGGAAAGGCGGCAACAGTGTTCATTGGTAAGTCATCTGTTGGGTCCTTTATGCTTCAGGATCTAGGACGGTTATTTTACCAAAGATGGGACAGCTGACTGAGATTCAGTATTTTGACAATTTCTAGCCAGGGGTGATAATCTGGCTCTGCCATGGGCCAGGTTCCACCACTACTGATTTTGTTTTGCCAGCCAGGTGTTTTAAAAATATTTGCATTTCCAGTGGCTGGGCTAGGTTAGGCTGTACTGAAGTAACGGGTAACTCCCCTCATACCTGTAATCTTAGCACTTTAGGAGGCCGAGACAGGCAGATTATGAGGCTAGGAGTTCAAGACCAGCCTGACTAACATCATGAAACCCCATCTCTACTAAAAATATAAAAAATTAGCCAGGTGTGATGATGCACACCTGTAATCCCAGCTACTCGGGAGGCTGGGGCAGCAGAATGGCTTGAAGCTGGGAGGCGGAGATTGCAGTGAGCCGAGATTGCGTCACTGCACTCCAGCCTGGGTGACAGAGCAAGACTCTGTCTCAACAACAACAACCACAAAAAAACAAGTAACTCCCACACCTTAGGGGCCGAACACAACTAGAGTGTATTTCTGATTCATGTCACCTGTCCAAGGATGTATTCTTCTCATAGCGTCCACTCAGGGACTCAGGCTCTTAGCAGTTTTCTCTTGACATGGGCTTGCAGGACCACGGCCACAGTGAGGGGAAGGAGACAGAGTGACTGGCTCTCTGGTTCTTGAATCTTTGTCCTGGAAGGACACTGCCCCTTCTGTCCAGATTTCATTGCCAGGGCAAGCTGCATGACTCTCCTAACTTCAGAGGAGGAGGGGAAGGTAAACCCTAGCAGATGCCTGGAGAGCTGATCAGCTCTAATGTGCACGGCACTGATGACAACCACAGCTGTGCCCTCTGCAGCTGGCATGATCCCACCCCTCCCTACTGTCTTACATTTTATGTTACCTGCCATTGAGCAGGAGAATGTGAAGCATTCTATGCCCAGCTCTCTGGCACTCACCATTTAATAACTCAGTGTCACTCCTCAGGCATAATCACTAGCTCTGTCACCCAGGCTGGAGTGCAATGGCGCAATCTCAGCTCACTGCAACCTCCGCCTCCTGGGGTCAAGTGATTCTCCTGCCTCAGCCTCCTGAGTAGCTGGGACTACAGGCTTGTGCCACCATGCCTGGCTAATTGTTTACATTTTTAGTAGAGATGGGGTTTCACCGTGTTAGCCAGGATGGTCTTGATATCCTGACCTCATGATCCTCCCGCCTTGGCCTCCCAAAGTGCTGGGATTACAGGTTTGAGCCACTGTGTGGGACCATCACTAGCCTTTTTGTTCCTTTTTACTTGCCCACTCTACCACCTGTTTACATTGGAGTGTTAGTTATTTCCTGCACCTGGGTCCTCTATCAACATCACCTGACCTTCCTTAGTCCCTTGTTATTTGGACTACTGTCTGTTGCTCATCAGTGTCCTCTCCAGGCACCATAGTATCTCCTTAGTATAGGAGGGCTTTTGGGAGGCACTTTCCACTGCTTCCTTCCCCTGGCCTACTCCTGGCTCCATTCCTTGCAACTCCACCATGGACAGGTCTAGAACCAGTCCCTCTCCCCGCCCCGTCAGTCTAATTAGACTGAGTTGTTCGTATTCTAGATTACACTGAAGCTATAGCCACATGAATGATGCACCCATCCACTGTTTCCACGCCCTCAGCCCCGCCGGGAGGTACATCTAAGGCTGACATAACACCTGCCTCCGCCCTGCTCCAGCAAGTGTAGGAATAGTGTCTGTTCCTACTTGGGGTGCTGCTCTGAGCACCACCCACAGCGGGTGAAGGGTGGAAGTGAGGGATGGTTCCAGAATAAGAGGGTGTTGGGACCAGGATGAGCTGGTGAAACATTTGCTAAAGACAGCACAGCAGGACGTGTTGGGGTGTGAACCTGAAAACTGTCAAGGGGAAGCCAAGGTCAAGGCCAGGAAGACCGTGCCAAGTGCAAGAGGCAAAGAGAGAATGGGAACCCAGGACACAACCCAGGGTGGACTTTGCCAGGAGACTCAAGAGTAGAAAGGGAGGGAGGGTGTGGGTGGACAGGGCAATGTTCAGACCCAGGCTGTGAACAGCCCAAGCGCCCTGGGCCACCTCGCTGGCCTCCCTGGCACTCCACACCTTGCAAGCACTTCTAATCCAGTGTTGAGAAAAGCTGACTTGAGAAACAGAGACAAACAATAGCTAAGAATCCGGTGGGCCTGTGCTGTGGTGGTTTAGTGCCCTCTGAGCAAGTGCAGTGAAACAAAGGGCGGGGACCATGAACAATGCCCCTGAGAGAGTTAAGCTGGAGGGGAGGAGCTTTGCATTGGCTCCGGGCTCTGCGGAGTAGTTGAACACAGGTAGAGTCTCTCTCAGGTCCCTCTTGGTCTGGCCCTGCCCAGGCAAGGCACTTTTTGGGGACACAGGGGCACCACCAGAGCTGATTTGTTCCCTGGTGTCAGCTGAGGTGAATGGGGAGGAAGAGGAGGAGAAAGACGAGGAAGAGAAGAAGAGAAGTAGGAAGAGGAGAACTCTGCTCCCTGCTGACAGGTCGCAGGGGGGCTCCATGAGGATGCCCCAGAGGGCAGCACACTCTGTGCCCCTTTGGACCGGCAGCTGGGGAGCACTGAGGGACAGCTCCCTGAGCTGCGGTTCCCTAAGAGTGCCTGTGAGAATGGCTTCCCAGGCAGCTGGCTTCAGCAGGGTGGGGCAGAGGAATCCCGGAGGACCCCTCCTGAGTATGCAGGGGTTGCCTCCGGGGCTCCCCAGGCTGCTGGGGGGTGTCATGCAGGGGTGCTACTGTGATGCCATGGTGAGGGGAGGAGAAGCCCTTTGCACTGGGGCTGTGGTCCTACCACCTGGGGAAACCTCAGGTCATGTGGAGCCTGCAGTTTCCCTAAGGAGGTGTGGAGCCTTCACAGGCAAACCCCAGCCTCTGCAGGGTCTTTCCTGGTCTTAGGGCTGGAGGGTGGGAGGAGACTTCTGTCTAAAAAGTGCACTGTATCCCACATCGGGCCACTCCTAGTTCTCTACATGCCGGGAGTGCCCCAGAGCTCTGACCTGTGCCCCCAGGTTTCTCCTGGGCTCCCATCCACTGGGCGGCAGGCGGTGCACCACACACTCCTGGGTTTAGAGGAGGGAGGGGCGCGGGCTCATCAGGTGTATCCCTGTGTGCAGTCACTTTTCTTTCTCTCAGTTTGCTTCAGCCACATTTTTCCCTTTGTCCTTACCATGAAGGCGGTAAGATCACAGAAGCTCTGTGTGCTGTCCGAGGGCAATGTCTTTTCACTGTGTGCCCAGGGGAATCCCGCAGGGTTCTCAGCATGATCCCTTTTCCCCCATATCTTGGAACTGGAGCAGAGTGAAGATGTCCTGTCTCCCTTGTTCTGCCCGCCCTCGGAAGGCACCACGGATGCCCGCCACCCACCGCATGCAACACCTTGAGTGTCACTGACCCACCTAGTTTCTACTCTCTTCAGTGAAGCTTGAGACAGGTCCTAGAATTCCTCCTCACTTTTTTCTTTTCTTTTTGGAGACAGAGTCTTGCTCTGCACCCAGGCTGGAGTACAGTGATGCGATCTCAGCTCACGGCAACCTCTGCCTCCTGGGTTCAAGCAATTCTCCTACCTCAGCCTGAGTAGCTGGAACTACAAGTGTTTACCACCACACCCAGCTAATTTTTGTATTTTTAGTAGAGACGGGGTTTCTACTAAAGCCATGTTGGCCTGGCTGGTCTCTAACTTCTGACCTCCAGTGATCCTCCTGCCTCGGCCTCTCAAAGTGCTGGCATTACAGGCGTGAGCCACCATGCCGGGCCTTAGAATTCATTTTATTTGCAGTTCTCTTTGAGGGTGTTTGCCATCTTTAGGGCTTCAGCAGGTAAAACTCCAATCAATCAGCAGCCCCCCTCGCTTTTATAAAATAAAAGGTGCAACAGGCCTGCTGAAACAAGGTTCTTTTGCATGCAGTTGTTTTTGTTTTTCTTGTTTCTTTTTGGCTTACATTTTTAGCTACATTCCAGAACCCTGAGGGAAAGTGGTTCCGTGGCTGTGCTCTGTGGCTGGACCTTGGAGCGTAAACGAGCCCCTTCCGTGTGGCCGGAGCACAGGCGGGCCTCTCCCGGCTGCTCCCGCTGCTGTGTGAGGCTGAGCTCTTTGAAGCCGGAGTTTCTGAGTTGGCTCATTTTTAAGTTTAAGTTTCTGAGTTGGCTCATTTTTAAGTTTCCTAACTCTGTGGTGACCTCCATGCTCATTGCGCCCGAGAGATGCTAGAGAGAAACCCCTCATCTCCATAGATACGGTCTTGCCACGTTCTGATGATGTGCGTTTTGGAGGTGAGGTGCTACTAAGCTCGCACTGAACAGAAAGAGGTTGACTCAGGAGCGATTTATGACAGGGCTGGAAGGAAGCCTGCCAAGGCAGTTGCCCAGGGCCTGTGAGGAAGTGCTGAATGTGGAAATCCTATCATTGTTTAAAAATGAGCCAACTCAGAAACTCGGGCTTCAGAGAGCTCAGCCTCACACAGCAGGGGAGGCAGCCAGGAGAGGCCCACCTGTGCTCCTGTCGCACGGAAGGGGCTCGCTTACGCTCCAAGATCCAGCCATGGAGCACAGCAGGTGGCAGGCCTAGCTCTGACTGCCGCCTGGAAGGCTGGCACTCTGGATGGCAGCGTGGGGCCAGAGGGTCTGGCAGCAGAGGCCAAGTAAGGGAAAGAAATCAAAGGGGCAAGGAATGAGGATGAAGGCTGCGTTTCCCTAGATAGCGCCTGACACATTGCGGACGGGCAGTCCTGTCTGTGGAATGGATGCGTGAATGCAGGAATGCCTCATCCATGCCACCATTCTCGGTACTGGGGATCCATCCAGAACCAACCAAATAGTCCAACATTCCTGCCCCCGTGGAACTTCTATCCTAGAGGCAGGGAAGACAGATGACAAATACAGCAGATGCTCATGCTGTGTAGTGTCCTAGAAGGGGACAGCGTTCTGACCACAATCGAGAATGCTGAGGGGGCTCAGAAATGCTGGGGCTGCTGGTCGTTGCAGCTGCTTGAGGCTGAGCTCTTTGAAGCCGGAGTTTCTGAGTTTGCTCAGTTTGAAAGTCGTCAGGGCAGGCAGCACTTCGCATGCCATAGCTGAGAGAGGCCTTGTCGAGGGGCGAGAAAGTCAGTTGTGTGGATAAGAGTATTAGGAAAGAGAAGGCAAGAAAAGAAAGCCTGTGCAAAGGTGGGAGTGATGGAGAGGGAGAATGCTGGAAGGCAAGGCCAGAGAGACAGGAAGGGGATGTCAGTTAAAATCCTGGCAGGAAGCAGATGGCCTGCTCACATTGGAGGAATCGGGGGGAGTTTACCTAAGGGACTGTTGCAAAGAGTAGGCAGATGTAGAGACACCCCAAGGAATAGCACAGTACCCCCTATCCCAGATGCCATTACCACCCCTGGAATTAAAGAGGCAAGAAAAGAGAAACTAGGCTGGGTACGGTGGCTCATGCCTGTAATCCCAGCACTTTGGGAGGCCGAATCATCTGCGCTTGAGAGTTTCAAGACCAGCCTGACCAACATGGAGAAACCCTGTCTCTATTAAAAATACAAAACTTGGCCAGGCATAGTGGCACATGACTGTAATCCCAGCTACTCAGGAGGCTGAGATGGGAGAATTGCTTGAACCCAGGAGGCAGAGATTGCAGTGAGATGAGATCACTTCATTGCACTCCATCCTGGGCAACAAGAGCAAGACTCGTCTCAAAAAGAAAAGAAAAAGAAAAGAGAAGCCACAGGAACCTGGGGAGACAGGAGAGGGCTGCTTCCGGTTGATTGGCAACTGCTGGCCCATGGGGACCCCTGCAGGGAGAAGGCTGGGGGAATGAACACCCAAACTCCATTCTTCTCCCACACAGGTTCCCTTATTGTTGGAACCCAATGCAAAGCCAGAGGACCCGTTGCAGGCTGGCCTCCTGGGTCAGGGACCTGCAGAGAGCAGAGTGGAGAAGTGGGGGGTGGACACGGAGAGGCCAACCAGAGGCGCCTTGCCAGTGCAGGGCACTGGGGCCAGCGAAGGACTTGGGCTTCCCCTCTGAGTGAGACACAAGCCCCTGGGGTGCTGGACAGAGTGACATCGTCTGACATCACAAATAAGTACCAGCTGCCAGTACCAGTACTAGTGACCAGGAGCTGAAGAAGGGAGGTGGGTAGAGAAGGAGGCGTAGGGAATGAGAGCAGGTGGTTTGTGCAGGCCAGGTGGGGAGGGACAGGTGCTCAGCCCCCAGTACCTCCAGCCCGGGGCAGCTTGGGTCCACCAGGGCTGTCCTCCTCCCCACTGAGAGGAGTGCTCTGGATCTGAGTTTAGTCTCCACCTGTAAGGTAGTCCTGGGCCCCGCAAAGGACTGCCACGGACAGCAGGTATGTGGGTGTGGCTGTCCCACGGGAACCTCATGCAGCCCGAGTTGGACCGTGTGTTGCCCTTTGCTTATTGCTGTGGGCTCAATCGTGCCCTCCCAAAATACGTTGAAATTCTCTCCCCTAATACCTCAGAATGTGATCTCATTTGGAAATAGGGCCATTGCAGGTGCAGTTAAGATGAGATCACCCTGGAGAAGGGTAGACCCTTAATCCGACATGACCAGTATCCTAATAAGAAGAGGGACGGGGCGCAGAGACAGACGCAAGGCACGCAGGGAGAAGGCCTTGTGCAGTCAGAGGCAGAGACCAGCATGATGCCAGGGGCTGGCAGCCACCACCGAAAGAAACCAGAAGAGGCGACGAAGAATTCTACCCAGAATTTCACAGAGAACACAGCCCTGCTGACACCTTGATTTTGGACTTCTGGTCTCTAAAACTGTGAGAGAATCAGTTTCCACTGATGAAGGCATCCAATTTGAGGGGCTTTGTTCTGGCAGTCCTAGAGTGTTAGTCCATTTTCAGTAGTTGATAAAGACATACCTGAGACTGGGTAATTCATAAAGAAAAAGAGGCTTGGCCGGGCATGGTGGCTCATGCCTGTAATCCCAGCACTTTGGGAAGCTGAGGTGGGCAGATCACGAGGTCAGGAGATCAAGACCATTCTGGCCAACATGGTGAAACCCTGTCTCTACTAAAAATACAAAAAAATTAGCTGAGTGTGGTGGCATACACCTGTAGTCCCAACTACTCAGGAGGCTGAGGCAGGAGAATTGCTTGAACCCATGAGGCAGAGACTGTAGCGAGCCGAGATCATGCCACTGCACTACAGCCTGGGTGACAGTGTGAGACTCTGTCTCAAAAAAAAAAAGAAAAGAAAAAGAAAAAGGAAAAAGAGGCTTAATGGACTCATAGTCCCATGTGGCTGGGGAGGCCTCACCATCATGGCAGAAGGCAAAAGGCATGTCTTACATGGTGGCAGAGAAGAGAGAATGAATGAACCAAGTGAAAGGGAAAACCCTTTATAAAACCATATGATCTTGTGAGACTTACTCACTACTGCAAAAACTGTATGGGGGAACCAGCCTCATGATTCAGTTATTTCCCACCAGGTCACTTGTATAACATGTGGGAATTATGGGAGCTATAGTTCAAGATGAAATTTGGGTGGGGCCACAGCCAAACCCTATCACCTAGGAAACTGACACATTCTCTCAGTTCAGATGCCCGATGAGAGGCTCTCAGGCTGCTTGGCTGACGTCTGGCTATATTGTGCTGACTTCCCAACTTGGGTTATTTTCCTGGGTGCCTGTGATAATTTCACAGCCAGACTGACCAGGAAGAAGTGGCCACTTGCTTGGCAAACCCTAGCCCTCCCCTACTGTTTGGGGTCCTGGGTGGATGGAGGGCGACAGCTGCCAATATCTGCGTGGCCAGGCACTGACCACAGAATGAAGGTGCAGTAATGGTCCAAGAAGCTGCGAGGCCTCCGGTGGTGGCGGGGGGGGAGGCTGCAGAAGACACTGAGTCCAGCATAGAGCTGGCATTCAAGAAATCCTTCATGAGTGACCTTTTCTGGACTTTTGAGCTGGTGTTGAACAGCGGCCTCCAAAAAGTTACATCTGCGTTCACATCCTGGGAATCTGTGAATGGGACCTTTATTGGAAAAAAGGTCCCATTTGCAGATGTAATTAGGTTAAGGATCTGGAGATGAAATTGTCCTGGATTAACAGGGCGGGCCCTAAACCCAATGACAATTGTCCATATAAAAAGACAGGAAAGATGATACTGACGTCGTGTGAAGATGGGGGTAGAGATTGGCGTGATCTCGCCCCAAGCGAATGAGGCCAAGGACGGCATGGCAGCCACTTGGCACTGGCAGAGCCAAGGAATTCTTCTCCCCTAGAGCCTTAGGAGGGAGCATAGCCTTGCTGACACCTTGACTTCAGACTTCTGGCCTGCAGAACCAGGAGAGAATACATTCCTGTTGGGTAAGCTGCCCAGTTTGTAGCGATTTGTTATCGCTACAAACCCAGGTTGCTAGCAGAGGTGGCAACCTTTGCTAAAGGAAAGGCTAGCTCTGATGATGATGGAGAAGCCTCTCGTGTCTGAAGAAAGCCCTGGCGTGGGACTGAGTTGTTGGTGGACTCTGGAGAGCTCTGTTCTAGGGAAGGTCAGAGTGAGTTGGATGAAGCCAGGGGCCAGCACGGAGCCTTATTAAGCATGCGTGGGAGTTTGTGCTCTTGCCTGGCTGGCTCTCGTTTGCTTCTCTTATTTGTTATTTGTCATGATCCTGGTTCATGCCCCTGATGAAAACATTCTTTAATGAAGTGTTTCACATGAAGAGAAATGGCCTAGTTATGGGTCCATCTCAGGGGGACGTTCTCTTGACAAAGACAGTTCCTCAGCTTCCTGGAATCCCACTGGCAGTGGTGTGGGCTCCGTGGGCCACCAGGAGGATTGTTTACTTCTGTTTCCTGGACAGCCGGCTTGGCCTGGGTGGCCGAGAGCAGGTTCCTCACCTCTCTGCTGAGTGGCTCCTGCCAGAGACAGCAGGCTGCAGTTCTGATAAGGTTTGGCTGTGTCCTCACCCAAATCTCATCTTGAATTTTAGCTCCCATAATTCCCATGTGTTGTAAGAGAGACCCAGTGGGAGATAACTGAATCATGGGGCGATTTCCCCCATACTGTTCTGGCAATGAATAAGTCTCACAAGATCTGATGGTTTCATAAGGGGAAACCCCTTTTGCTGGGCTCTCATTCTCTCTTGCCTGCTGCCATATAAGATGTGCCTTTCACCTTCCACCATGATGGTGAGGCCTCCCCAGCCACGTGGAACTGTGAGTCCATGAAACCTTTTTTTCTTTATAAATCACCCAGTCTTGGGGTGTGTCTTTATCAGCAGTGTGGAAATGGACGAATACACTGCCATCTCAGGCATTCATAACAAGGTGGCTGGCACTAAGGCTGGGCCTTCTGCCCCATGTTCCCATCCAGCTGGGCTTGCAGGTCTTGCCAGACTCAGAGCCCAGTGCAGAACCTGAGTTCCTCGCCTCCACCCTTTTGCTCTTTTGGACTGAGGGTTCTTCTGTCCAAATGAAAACACAAGCATGGTATGAAGAGGAGATGAAGAAGGTGAGGATGTTGATTTAATCTGGAGAGAAGACAGAAGGACCCATAAATGCAGCCTCAGGTATGAGAAAGGTACTCTCTTCCCATAGCCAATGATTGACTAGGGCTGTTCTGGAAGGTTTCTGACCTAGAGGGGGTCAGACTCAAGAGATACATTTTAGCTCTGTATGTAAACACAAACTTGACAAACTATCAGAATGCAGTGGTTGTGCATGGAGTTTCCCCCGCCTCTGTCTGTCTCCGTGGTGACTACTGAAGCCCAGAGCTTCTGTGGGAGGACCAGGTCATGACACTTCCATAGACTCTGACGACTGAGCAGTGGATGGATGGGGTGAGGGCCACCAGCTGACCTGGGGCCAGCCAGTCCTCTGGCTGACCAGTGCCAACCAGGTGCTCTCTCTTAAGAATTTGTCTAAGAGACACAGATTGGTCCATGGAGGGGCCGGGAGGCATGCTTGCAGAAGATGATGTGATCAGTGCCCCACGCATGTCCCCTCCACTCTTACCTCTACATGCTCAAGGCAGCATCGTGGCCATACCTGTGTGGTCTCTATCAAGTTAGTGACCGTAGAAGCAGCCCTCACCGCGATAAGCTGATTTAGCAGGTAAATGCCTGGCTTCCTCACCCGTTGGTTGAAATAACTCTCTTTTCCAGAGTTTCCCAGGAGGATAAGTTTCAGTTGTCCGTGGTGGTAATTCATTTGATAATGTCCTCTAATTGACATCCATCTTCCCTGTCTCACTTCCCCACTCCTTTACAAAGGGATTCCTTTCAAATAAACTATTTGCCTAAAACCTTTTTTTTTTTTTCAGCGTCTACTCCTGGAACAACTCAAACAAAGACGAGGTTGGATCTACTAGGTCATGTAGACTTGAAGCTGGTGACGATGTTGGGTCAGATATTAGTGGGAAGCCAAGCTTAGAGAAAGATGGAGTGGAGGGAACCTGACTGGGAAGGTCCCCATGGCCTCTGAGAGACAAGGAGATAGAAGCCAGAAGTCACCTGCGAGACAAGGGGAAGAACTCTGACTCCCCGCACCACAATCTCGTCTTCTGCTACATGGCTTCTGTTCCTTGTAGCCGAAGGATCTGAGCAACAGTTGACTCTATAAAACTTACTACCTGCCAGGCACTGTCTTAACCTCTATGCCAGTAGGGTAGCCAGATTTAGCAAATAAAAATTCAGGATGCCCAGTTAAACATAGGACATAGATATACTAAACAATTATTTGTTATCTAAAATTCAAATGTAGTGAATTTAAATTTAATCTGGCAATTCTACATACTGTCATATAAGGCATGTTCTCTTATTGTTTTACAGCAGGGGAAGCAGCAAGTGAGTAACTTATCCAGGTTCCCACAGCTGCTAGATGGTAGGGCTGGGCTGTGCCCCAGGCAGTCTGACTCTAGAGCTTGCCCTCTGAGCTGCCTCTTCAATACCTTTACCGGTCCCGTATCACCCAGAAGTGAGGTGAGTTGTCTCTCAAAGGAGTGAGTTCCCCATCGCTTATTTCTTTTTTTGTGGAAAAAGAGAAAAAGAAGGGGAAAAAAAAGAAAAAGAGGGAAAAAGGAATATTACTTCATTCCTAAAATGGGTTTCAATAATGGCCGATCAATATTTTGAGTGTTTAAAGTGGTTAATGCATATTTTATGTGTTTAAAATGGAGACCTCTATTTGTTCTGGCTCTGAGTTCAAATACTGGATATCGTTATCAATTTGTTGTCTCGTTGAATCTCACTATGTGTCTTACGTATCTGGGTGTTAAGATCTCTTATTGTTACATTAATCCTTTTACCCTTGTATCCTTATAGCTTTGAAATCTATTTTGTCAAATGTGAAAATTGCAACTCCTGCTTTTTATTTATTTATTTTTGCTCTCCATTTGGTTGGTACGTTTTTTTTTTCCAACCCTTTATTTTGAGTCTATGTATATCTTTGGATATACCGTTGGATTTTGTCTGTATCTTTTGATTGGGAGATTTGGTTGATTTAACTTTAGGGTTGCTGCCATTTGATATTAACTGGCTATTTTGTCCTTTTGTTGATAAAAATTCTTCTTTATGTTAATGCTCTTTACTTTTTGGTGTATTTTTAGAAAGGATCATACTGGTTGTTCCTTTCTGTGTATAATGCTTCTTTTAGAAGTTCTTGTAAAGCAGGCCTGGTGGTAATAAAATCTCTGAGTACTTGCTTGTTCCTAAAAGATTTTATTTTTCCTTCAAATGTAAAGCTTAAATTGGCAGGATATGAAATTCTGGGCTGAAAGTTTTGTTCTTTAAGTATATCATCAGCAACCGAACAAGCCCTGATGGAAAAGGACTCATCAGTAACGGAACAAGCCCTGATGGAAAAGGACTGTGTTCCATTATCTGAAGTAGGCTTTAAAAGGTGGATGATAAGAAACTTCTGGGAGTTAAAGGAACTTGTTCTAACCCAATGTAAAGAAACGAAGAACTTGGAAAAAAGGTTCGATGAAATGTTGAAAAGAATAGACAATATAGAGAGGAATACAAATGAACTTATGGAATTGAAAAATACAACACGAGAACTGAGTGAAATATGTACAAGCTTAAACAGCCGAATGGATCAAGCAGAAGAAAGGGTATTAGAGGTCGAACACCAACTTAATGAAACAAAACGACAAGACAAGAATAGAGAAAAAAGGATAAAAAGGAATGAGCAAAGTCTCCAAGAAATATGGGACTATGTGAAAAGACCTAATATACGCTTGATTGGTGTACCTGAATGTGACGGAGAGAATGAAGTCAAGCTGGAAAATACTCTCCAGGACATTATCCAGGAAAATTTTCCTAATTTAGCAAAGCAGGACACTATTCAACCCCAGGCAATACAGAGAACACCACAAAGATATTCCTCAAGAAGACCAACCCCAAGGCACATAATCGTTAGATTCACCAAGATCGAAACGAAGGAGAAAATATTAAGGGCAGCCAGAGAGAAAGATCAAGTTACCCATAAAGGTAAGCCTATTAGGCTTACAGCAGATCTCTCAACGGAAACCCTACAAGCTAGAAGAGAGTGGGGGCCAATATTCAATATACCCATCGCTTATTTTTTGTGCCCAAGCAGTTGAGGAGTATCACGATTGGTGTTTGATTCCTACCTGGGAAATCTTTAAGGCAAGAGAGAGGACTCTTAGTGTTCGCTTGGCAGAGGAGCAAATGGGACTTGCTGCTCTGCAGGGACCAGAGTTTTTGTGGGCAAAGGATGTGTGTGTTTTCCTATGAATCGGTTGTGAACCATTGGTGTGCAGCCACTGTCCCTAGTTTGCACAGGACGGCTCCTGTTTAGGTGTGTCGTCTCATAGTCCCCATCTGGTTCACCATTTTACTTCCAAGCAAGGTGTTATAATCATAGTTGCGAAGCAAACTTCCAAGTAAACTATTATAATAATAGTTGCATTCAAGCAGACTGGATGGGGCTGGAGACCACTTGATACTTCTAGCTCTACACCACGGCCTCATCTAGTTATGGGGACTGCATGGGGACAGTTTGATCTGTGGTTAAACCCAGAAGCTGCCTAGCAACATCTCTCTTTGTTGCATGTCATAACCAACACCCCTCTTGTCAGGACAGCACACAGGGCACTCCCAAATGAAGCGCACTATGACACGAGTGATTCGGTAAAGCTAACTGCTGCCAGCTGCGCCTGGTGGGAGGAGAAAGTATTTGATGTGATGCTGCTGACTTCATGGGCAGTTGGCATGCCAGCCAGTTGTGCCAATGGCCTGTACCAATAGCCTGGGCTATGGCCTGCAAAATGCTCAAAGCCACCAGCCTGCCAGTTGATGGTGTCAATGGGAAGATGGGAACCTGTAGACCAGACGTTTTAAAATATGTGTGGGAAATTCAGGCTCAACAGTCCTACGGGGGTAGGGGTGGTATATAGCGAGAAGGCTGAGTGCTTCTGCTACAGTTGTGCTGTCATTTACCATGTGGTGCAGCTCTCCTTATTCATTGTATTGTTTGGTAATGATTTTTACATTTTTCAATGAACCCTGCAGGCCATAATGAGCTCAGAAACATTTCTGTGCATATTTAGTAAAAACTTAAACACCACATTTCTGTTTCTCAAGCAAGTTGATGATAAGCATGCACCTAGCACAAAGCGCTGATGTGTGCCAACACACCACAGGGCTGAAGTCACCAACCATCTGAAAACCAGTTAGTCACAAATCTGCCACAGAAGTATCAACATCTAAGGCAAAAGCGAGTGACTATTTGTAGGCAGCTGTACCCAAAGAAGATGATTTAACATGTGCAGTTACAGAAAAATACACTTACACTCCACTTTGTGAACTGTGATTTTTTTGTTTCTATCAAAAGATTGTTCTTTAAAATTAATCATGTTCTTTTTGGGGGGAAAAGTACTTGAATAAGACGTTACTCCAAAGAAGATATACAAATGGCCAGTAAACACACAAAAAGCATGGTCAACATCATTAATTATGAGAGAAATGCAAATGAAAACCATGGTGAGATGTGCCTGACACCTATCAGGATGGCTATTACCAAACAACAGAAAATAGGTAGGTGTGGTCGCTCACACCTGTAATCCCAGCACTTTGGGAGGCTGAGGTGGGCGGATCACAAGGTCAGGGGTTCAAGACCAGTCTGGCCAACATAGTGAACCCTGTCTCTACTAAAAATACAACAATTAGCTGGGTGTGGTGGCACATGCCTGTAGTCCCAGCTACTCACGAGGCTGAGGTAGGAGAATCGCTTAAACCCTGGAGGCAGAGGTTGCAGTGAGCCCAAGCACTCCAGCTTGGGGGACCGAGCAAGACTTCGCCCACCCCCCACAAAAAAAGCAGAAAACAACAAAAATAGCAAGTGTTGAAGAGGATAGGGAGAAAGTGAAAGCTTTGCGCATGATGAATGGAATGTAGAATGTGACGGCCTGTGTGGAAGACGGTATGCCAGTTTCTCAAAAATTTACACCTAAATTATAATGTGATCCAACAACTTCTCTTCTAGATATCAGCCCCAAAGAATTGAAATTAGGAACTCAGATACTGTACATCCATGTTCGTAGCAGCATCATTCACAACAGACAAAAGTAGAAGCAACCCAACTGTCTGTCAGTGGATGGAGGGAGAGACAAAATGTGGCGTGTACCTAGAGTGAGCGTTATTCAGCCCGGAAAAGGAAGGGAATTCTAGTACATGCTACAACATGGATTAACCCTGAGGACATTAGGCTGAGTGAAAAAAGCCAGTAACAAGAGGACACATATTGTATGATTCCACTTGCATAAGGTACCTAGAGAGTCAGATTCATAGAAACAGAAAGTAGAATGGTGGTTACCAAGGCCTAGGGTGGGGGGAAATTCGAGTTAGTGTTTAATGGGCGTGGAGTTTCAGTTTGGGAATATAAGTTCTGGAGGTGAATAAAGGTGATGGTTGCATAACAATGTGAATATACTTAATGACAACTATAATATACTTAAAAATGGCGTGGCTCACCCCTGTAATCCCAGCTCTTTGGGAGGCTGAGGTGGGTGGATCACGAGGTCAGGAGTTCAAGACCAGCGTGGCCAAGATGGTGAAACCCCGTTTCTACTAAAATTACAAAAATTAGGCAGGTGCGGTGGCACGTGCCTCTAATCCCAGATACTTGGGAGGATGAGGCAGAAGAATTGCCTGAACCCAGGTGGCAGAGCTTGCAGTGAGCTGAGATTGCACCACTGTACTCCAGCCTGGGCAACAGAGTGAGACTCAGTCTAAAAATAAATGGCTACAATGGTAAATTTTATGGTATCTGTATTTTGCCACAATAAAAAAAATCAATCTTGCTCTTTTTATATTCCAAGTATTTTTGTAGCTGAACAAAAAAGTGGTAACTTAATATGTGGGTTTCATTGGCAGAACAACTTTGCAAACAGATAAATGATGCCAATTTGTCATTAGTGTTATCCAATATTCCAAGTATCAGCTCGCTCTCAGAAGGGTTTGATATTTTTCAGCCAACTCACAGAATCAAAATAAAGCTTTGGGAAGTTCATTTTGTCAAAGATGAAACATCCAAAATAAATGTAAACATTATTTTAAATTTAGTTAAAATGTTCAGCCTTGAAGATAAGATTGTTTTTGTGGTCTCAATACAAATATATATTTTGCCAAAACACAGCTTCATGATAAAAACAATGTTTTGCTAAATTTGACTACCGAGTAGCAATGACCTTGGAATTGGTTGCAATGAACATGTAATTCTACTTTATTCAAACCAGCTGTGATAGTCTACCAACTGAACTCCAAGCTGCAATTGTTGAATGTTACAAATATTTTTATACCTACTCAGAGTAATTATGATTAAGCTGAAATAGTATTTAAAAAAAAAAAAAACTTTGGCAACGTAGCATATAATTTTTTCTTTGCTGCAAGTCATTAAACAGATTTTAGAAATGTTTGAACTTTTGCAGAAGGACTTTGTAAATCAGCCCAACAGCCTTCTGAAAGGAACTGGACATATTCAAGGCTGAGAAGATTCATAGTGCAATCCACTACTGTGCTTTCGCAAATTGTAACTTGAAAACGTGCTCAATATCGCTCATTAGAGAAATGCAAATCAAAACTACAGTGAAGTATCATCTTGCCTCAGTTCAAATGACTTCTATCCAAAAGACAGGCAATAACAAATGCCGGCAGGGATGCAGAGAGAAGGGAACCCTCGTATACTGTTGGTGGTTATGTAAATGAGTGCAACCACCATGGAGAACGGTCTGTAGGTTCCTCAGAAAACTGAAAATAGAGCTCACTGCAACCTCTGCCTCCTGGCTTCAAGTGATTCTCCTGCCTAAGCCTCCCGAGTAGCTGGGATTACAGGCATGTGCCACCATGCCTGGCTAATTGTTGTATTTTTAGTAGAGATGGAGTTTCACCAGGTTGGGCAGGCTGGTCTCAAATTCCTGACCTCAAGTGATCCAGCCGCCTCAGCCTCCCAAAGTGCTGGGATTACAGGTGTGAGCCACCATGCCCAGCCAAATTTTACTTTCAAATACAGTTTTTGAACAGAATGATTTCATAGCCCACTAATGTGATAAAACCAATTTGTTTGTCTCTCTATAAATACTTCTATGTAATTTCAATTATGTTTAGGGTCCTGTACTCCCGTGGGAGAGCGATAAGTCTATAGAGTTTTAAATCCTGCCCAAGAAGGCTATTTGGAGAGGCCATGGGATGTCCCAAAGACTGCATGAAGTCATTGGGCAGCAGGAAAAAGGGGAAAATGCATTGCCCACCTCAAGATGTTTACAACTTCAGGGCCCCAGTGGGAGCTGTGGAAGAGCACAAAGCAGATGTTGAGAAAGGTTGTGAAATGTCCATCAGACTCAGAGAGCTTAGAGCCAGTTCACTATAGAACCAAGTAAGTGGCAAATTTTCTTCCCCTCTCTAGGGGCAGAAAATTCTTTCATTCCTCATGCTCCAGCCCAGAGGGGCCAGAAACCAGAAACAGAAGTGAGCAAACTAAGGAGGAAAAAAGAGAGAAAGAAGGACACTGTCTGCTGTCCCCAAGGGTGGTGGCCTTCCTGCTGGTGGCCATAGCAAGAGCAGGGGCAGGAGGCTCATCTGTGAGTCAAGACTTAAGTGTGGATTGGACTGGAGGTTTGATTTTCTGAATGGAGACCATGTTTGCAAAGAACGTTACCTTAAGGCTGGGCGTGGTGGCTCACACCTGTATCCCAGCACTTTGGGAGGCTGAGGTGGGCGGATCACCTGACGTCAGGTGTTTGAAACCAGCCTGGCCAATATGGCGAAACCTCATCTCTACTGAAAATACAAAAATTAGCCATGTGTGGTAGTGGCTGCCTGTAATCGCAGCTACTCGGGATGCTGAGGCAGGAGAATGGCTTGAACCTGGGAGGCAGAGGTTGCTGTGAGCCAAGATCGAGTCACTGTACTTCAGCCTGGGCGACAGAGGGAGGGAGACTCCATCTCAGAACAAAACAAAACAAACAAACAAACAAAAAAGGAAGTTACCCTAGGACTTTTTAAAACCAAAGAGTAAACCAAAATGAAAGGGCTAATGAAAAGGAATGAAGTACTGATCCGTGCTACAGCGTGGATGGACCTTAATAATATTGTCTTGAATTAAAGAGGCCAGACACAAGGCCACAGAATGCATGGGTTCATTGATATGAAATATCCGGGAAAGTCAACCCATAGGGTCAGAAAGCAGACTTGTGGTTGCCAGGGCCTGAGGTACGGGGTAATGGGGACTGCTGATGGGTATGTGGGTTCCTTCCGGGATGATGTAAATGCCCCGGAACCAGACAGACCTGGTGGGTGTACATCACTGAGAATGTCCTAACTGTCCCTGAATTTTACACTTGAAATGGTCAATGTTTAATTTTATGTCATGTAATTTTTCTTTCTTTCCTTTTTTTTTTTTTTGAGACAGAGTCTTGCTCTGTTGCCCAGGCTGGAGGTCAGACACGATCTCAGCAGCTCGCTGCAACCTCTGCCTCCCGGGTTCAAGCGATTCTCCTGCCTCAGTCTCCTGAGTAGCTGGGACTACAGGCCCGTCCACCCCACCCAGCTAATTTTTGCATTTTTAGTAGAGACAAAGTTTCACCATATTGGCCAGGATGATCTCGATCTCTTGACCTCGTGATCCACCTGCCTCAGTCTCCCAAAGTGCTGGGATTACAGGCGTGAGAGACACCATGGGTCTATGGCATGTAAATTTTTTTTCTGAATTAAAACAAAGAAAAAACCCAAAGGGCTGTCGCAAATGTTCATCCAAGAACAGGAGAAGATGCTCCCTACAGGCAAGTTTAAAGGACAGTGCCAGATAAAAAGTTTGAAGGAGAGTACTCCATACATTCTGCATCTAATACACGTTACCGAAGAGAGCCACATGCAGAAAACCACACAAACTGGACTCTCTGGAGATTTAAAGAATTTTCAAGGGCAAATTTGGACTCTACTGGAATTTCATCTAATATGTTGACTTTAGAAAATTAACTCTCTATCCTCTGAGCAGCAGCGAGGCATTAGGCAGGCGGTAGCAAGACAGAAACTCCCTGTGTGTCTTGGGTAAGCTAAGTCTCGTTAATAGGAGAGTTCTAGACTAGGGAGAAGTTCTGCCAAACTGCTGCTGCGGACCCCGGGCCACTTTGGACCCGGAACCAGCCAGCCCTCCTGACATTCCTCCTGAGGCCCAGCTCTTTGTTTTGTACTGAGTTCTCCTTCCTGTGAATTCTGGCCATAAATCTCCAAATTCCTAGAGGGGTTCTGTGCCTAGCAACAAAAGTGGCTAGATGGCATAGTCTAAGAAGCCCGCTGACTTGGAAGAAAGCCCTTGTCCCAGAAGAGAAATGATTGGCAGCTGGCAGGCATCCTGGGTATCTCCGCTGGCTGTTGTATGTCCAAGAGAAGAAATGATATGCAGACTGTCTTAAAAACTGGCAGGGAGATGCTAAGCTTTTTTTTTTTTTTCTGAGACAAAGTCAAACTCTGTCGCCCTGGCTGGAGTGCAGTGGCGTGATCGAGGCTCACTGCAACCTCCGCCTCCCGGGTTCGAGCGATTCACCTGCCTCAGCCTCCTGAGTAGCTGAGACTACAGGCACCCGACACTATGCCTGGCTAACTTTTGTATTTTTAGTAGAGACAGGGTTTCACCATTTTGGCCAGGATGGTCTCAATCTCCTGGGATTACAGGCGTGAGCCACCACGCCTGGCCTGATGCTAAGTTTTAAACTTATAAATGTGCATAGGAAAGGATTAAACCAGAGAAGTAGGGAAATAATTAGGATCCAAGCTCCACTACTAACTCAGGGGAAGAAATCACCTCTTCATGCCTCAGTTTTCTCTTCTGCAAAATGGGAATCCTTTTGATTTCACCACATGGTTAGTGATGTATCATGTATAAAAAGTAAAAAATGATATATTTTGTATCATGTATAAAATGATACACCTACAATATGTTACACTTCGAAAAGTACATAGTGTAATATAAAATGCAAGAGTTTCACCCAGGTAGATTTATATAGGAACTTATTCAGAAATACACCTACTATGGCCAGGTGCAGTGGCTCATGCCTGTAATCCCAGCACTTTGGGAGGTTGAAGCAGGTGGATCACCTGAGGTCAGGAGTTCAGGATCAGCCTGGCCAACGTGGTGAAACCCTCTCTCTACTAAAAATACAAAATTAGCTGGGTGTGATGGATACATACCTGTAATCCCAGCTACTTGGGTGAGGCAGAAAAATTGCTTGAACCCAGGAGGCGGTGGTTCCAGTAAACTGAGATTATACCACTGCACTCCAACCTGGGTGACAGAGTACGACTCCATGTCAAAAAGAAAAAGGAAAAAAGGAAAGAAACATGCCTGCCTGGTGGCAAGACAGGGCTCTCAACATTTTGGGGGAAGGCATCAGCGGATGGCTCTATAGTCAGTCAGGCTTGACTAAGTCACACGGGACCTGCAGATGTGGCTGGCTGCATACAGATCCCCTGTTCTGAATTTGTCAAGACCAAATTAGCTAGGATGGTAAGCCTAAATGAGAAAAACTAATCATCAGCCCCTTATTATGTTTGCTTTTGCTTTTTAGGATTAATAGACACTAGGATTACAAATAACACCACGTATGCAATTTTTAATTTGGGTATTAATTAGGGCAAATAACAAATTTGGGAATTTCTTCTTTCTACCATACTCAGAAGGTGAAGGATTTCTTTTTTCTTTCTTTTTTTTTTCTTTGAGACCAAGTTTAGCTCTTGTTGCCCAGGCTGGAGTGCAATGGCATGATCTCGGCTCACTGCAACCACTGCCTCCTGGGTTCAAACAATTCTCCTACCTCAGACTCCTGAGTAGCTGAGATTACAGGTATGCACCACCACACCCGGCTATTTTTTTTTTTTTTTTTGTATTTTTAGTAGAGATGGGGTTTCACCATGTTGGTCAGGATGGTCTCCATCTCCTGACCTCGTGATCTGTCCGCCTTGGCCTCCCAAAATGCTGGGATTACAGGTGTGAGCCACCGTGCCTGGCTAGTGAAGGATTTCTATTGCAGTTGGCTGATTTTGAATTGAGAGTTTGACCTTTATGTTCCATTCTGTCCCACCCAAGATGACAGTTCAACTCAATAGTGTTAAAGCAAAGTAAATATGACCCGAGAAGGACTCAGTACTTCTATATTTGTGAATGAACTATAGCCTAGCTTAATAGTCAGACAAAATTGGTAACTGAACTGAATAGTATGCACTGTAACAATAGCTAAGTGTTAGCCAATCCCAGCGGCCATCCTTCTACCACTCTAGACTGCGGAGGGCTCAGACTGCCTTCAAATAAGGCGAATGCTGAGCTGTAACCAATCGTGCTGTTTCTGTACCTCACTTCCGATTCTTGTACGTCGCTTTACCTTTTTTACCTACAAATTTGTTCTGACTACGAGGCAACCCTGGAGTTTCTGTGAATCTGCTGTAATTCTGGGGGGCTGCCCAGTTCACGAAGGGTTCATTGCTCAATTACACTCCTTTAAATTTAATTCAGCCGAAGTTTTTCTTTTATCAGTAGATAGTGAGTTTCTATTTCGCACCAAGCCCTGGGGATCCCAAACTGGGAACAGTGAGGTGAATGAGACGATTTTTCTAAACTCTAGGTTGCAGGCAGGCTCTTGGAGATCACCACAGACTTTTCCTGGAGTTGGAAGATGGATTGTCAAAACCTGCAATACACATACCTACGGTGCTCCACTGTGTATTCCAGCGGAGGATTTCCGTGGAATTAGCACCGACACAGGTAGGCACCCAAGTTGGAAACTGGTTCTTTGTGTAGCTACGAAATTCCTTGGGTGCCTTAAGGATATCCACAATCGAGAGTCTGGTATTTAAACTGACAGCCACTCATCTCATTGAAGGGCAGACATCTGAAATTAGAATGCGAAAAGATCAGGAAAGCAGAAGATGACATTTTGCATGCTTTCAGAGGCCAGGCGTACGTTTTAAGTTGTGTTTGAAGTCACTACACTCATCTGCATGATAGTTAAAGGAGTTTTGTTTGTTTTTTAAACACCCAAACCCCAAACCAATTTTCAGCCTGAGTACTCTCCATGAGTTTGCACTAAATACTAAACAGATGGGCTCTGAGTTTCTCCGAAGGTATGTCTCGTCCAGCTCAGAAATACAATAAACAAGACTCACCCAAAAGTCTAAGAACACTGATTAAAAAAAATTTCCCCCAAGGACCACAAAATACCTGCCCTGATTTGCCTGCAAATTGCAGGATTCTTCAGGGGCTCCCAGTCTCCCCTTGGCTAAACAAGAGACCAGCCAAACCCACAGATTCTCAGGGGTTTTGTTTTCCAAACAGGTCTGGTCAGCACAGGCTGAAAAAAGCTGAGGATTCGATTTTGCTATTTGGTGAAGGAAACAAGATAATCTCTTCTTATATTCTGTTAAGTAACAAGAGGCATAAAATTTTAGAGCTGGATGACACCTTAGATGGGGTCCAATGACTCTTTTTTGTTTTATTTTTTATTGTGGTAAAATATACATAACATACAATTTAGAATCGTAGCCATTTTAACTGCATAGTTTAGTGGCATTAAGTGCATTCATATCGTTATGCAACCGTCACCACCATCCCGCTCCAGAACTCTCTTCATCTTCCCAAAGTAAAACACTGTATCCATTAAACACTAACTCGCAATGCCTTCCTCCAGCCCCCAGTAACCACCATTCTGCTTGCTTTCTTTCCTTTTCTTTTCTCCTTCCTTCCTTTCTTTCTCTTCTCTTTCTCTCTCGCTCTCTCTCAACAGGGTCTCATTCTGTTGCCCAGGCTGGAGTGCCCTGGCACAATCATGGCTCACTTGACCTCTTGGGCTAAAGCAACTCTCCCCGCTCAGTGTCGTAAGTAGCTGGGACTACAGGTGTGCACTACCATGCCTGGCTAATTTTTACCATGCCTGGCTAATTTTTTGTAGAGACGAAGTCTTATTACGTTGCCCAGGCTGGTCTCAAACTTCTGGGCTCAAGTGATCCTCTTGCCTCAGGCTCTCAAAGGGTTGGTATTACAAGCATGAGCCACCATTCTACTGGCCCATTCTACTTTCTGTCTCTATGAATTTGACTAGTACTCACTTATATAGTACCTTATATAAGTGAAATCATACAATATTTGTCCTTTCGCAACTGGCTTATTTCACTCGGCATAATGTCTTCAAGGTTCATCTATGTTGTAGCATGTGATAGAATTTTCCTTCTTCTTTTTATTTTGAGAGTCTCATTCTGTCATCCAGGCTGGAGTGCAGTGGAGCGATCTTGGCTTAGCACAACCTCTGCTTCCTGGGTTCAAGCAATTCTCCTGTCTCAGCCTCCCGAGTAGCTGGGATTAGAGGTGCATGCCACCACGCCTGGCTAATTTTTGTATTTTTAGTAGAGACGGTTTGCCATATTGGTCAGGCTGGTCTCGAACTCCTGACTTCAGGTGATCCACCCTCTTTGGCATTCCAAAGTGCTAAGTTTACAGGCATGAGCCACTGCGCACAGCCAAATTTCCTTCCTTTTTAAGGCTGAATAATATTCACTCTGTGTATACACTATGTTTTGTTTATCTGTTCATTCATTGGTGGCTTCCACCTTTTGTCCATTGTGAATGCTGCTGTGAACGTGGGTGTATCATATCTGTTTGCGTTCCTGATTTCAATTCTTTCAGTATATTCCCAGGAGCAAAAGTGCTGGATCATATGGTAATTCTGTATCTAACTTTTTCACACCGGCTGCACCATTTCTCATTCCCACTAGCCATGCACAAAGTTTCCAATTTCTCCACATCCTCTCCAACACTTGCTGTTTCCTGTTTTTTGATAATAGCCATTCTAATGAGTGTGAAGTGGTATCTTAATATGGTTTTGATTTGCATTTCCCTAACAATTAGTGGTGTTGAGCATCTTTTCACCTTCCTATTGGCCATTTGTGTATCTTTGGAGAAATGTCCATATTCCAGTCATTTACCCATTGTTGAGTTGGGTTCTTTGTTTTTGCTGTTGTTGAGTTGATACCTCTTTTTATGCAGGAGAAAGATGGCTTGTAGAAAGGGTACACTCAATCAACAACACTCAGCTGGATGTTGGCGAGCCAGGGCCAGAATCTAGGCCCCACAGGGTTCCTTGTCACCCTTCGTTCATTACAGAGGTGGAAGCCGAGGTCCAGAGGGCGAGGATACTTTCTTTTCTTTTTATTTATTTATTTATTTAAATTTGACTTTAAGTTCTGGGGTACATGTATGGATCGTGCAGGATTGTTACATAGGTATACACGTGCCATGATGGTTTACTGCCTCCATTCCCCCATCACCTACATTAGGTATTTCTCCTAATGTTATCTCTCCCCAATCTCCCCACCTGCTACTGTCCCTCCCCTAGCCCCCCACCTCCAACGACCCCAGTATGTGATGTTCCCCTTCCTGTGTCCATGTGTTCTCATTGTTCAACACCCACTTATGAGTGGGAACATGCAGTGTTTGGTTTTCTGTTCTTGTGTCAGTTTGCCGAGAATGATGGTTTCCACCTTCATCCATGTCCCTGCAAAGGACATGAACTCATCCTTTTTTATGGCTGCGTAGTATTCCATGGTGTCTATGTGCCACATTTTCTTTATTCAGTCTATCTTTTATGGGCATTTGGGTTGGTTCCACATCTTTGCTATTGTAAACAGTGCTGCAATGAACATATGGGTGCATGTGTCTTTATAACAGAACAATTTATAGTCCTTTGGGTATATACCCAGTAATGGGATTGCTGGGTCAAATGGAATTTCTATTTCTAAGGCCTTGAGGAATCGCCACACTGTCTTCCACAATGGTTGAACTAATTTACACTCCCACCAACAGTGTAAAAGTGTTCCTATTTCTCCAATCCTCTCCAGCATCTGTTGTCTCCAGATTTTTTAATGATCGCCATTCTAACTGGCGTGAGATGGTATCTCAATGTGGTTTTGATTTGCATCTCTCTGATGACCAGTGATGATGAGCATGTATTCATATGTTTGTTGGCCACATAAATGTCTTCTTTTGAAATGTGTCTGTTCATATATTTTGCCCACTTTTTGATGGGGTTGTTTGTTTTTTTCTTATATATTTGTTTTAGTTCTTTGTAGATTCTGGATATGAGCCCTTTGTCTGATGGGTAGATTGCAAAAAATTTTCCCATTCTGTTGGTTGCTGGTTCATTATAGTGATTCTTTTGCTGTACAGAAGCTCTTAAGTTTCATTAGATCCCATTTGTCAATGTTGGCTTTTGTTGCCATTGTTTTTGGTGTTTTAGTCATCAAGTCCTTGCCTATGCCTATGTCCTGAGTGGTATTGCCTAGGTTTTCTTCTAGAGTTTTTATGTTGTTAGGTCTTATGTTTAAGTCTTTAATCCATCTGGAGTTAATTTTTGTATAAGGTGTAAGGAAGGTGTCCAGTTTCAGATTTCTGTGCATGGTGAAGTTTTCCCAACACCATTTATTAAACAGGAAATCCTTTCCCTATTGCTTGTTTTGTCAAAGATCAGATGGTTGTAGATGTGTGGCATTACTTCTGAGGATTCTGTTCTGTCCCATTGGTCTATATATCTGTTTTGGTACCAGTACGATGCTGTTTTGATTACTGTAGCCTTGTAGTATAGTTTGAAGTCAGGTAGCATGATGCCTCCCGCTTTTTTCTTTTTGCTTAGGCTATGTGGGCTCTTTTTGGTTCCATGTGAAGTTTAAGGTGTTTTTTTTTTTCCAGTTCTGAAAAGGTCAATGGTAGTTTGATGGGGATAGCATTGAATCTATAAATTACTTTGGGCAGTATGGCCATTTTCACGATATTGATTCTTCCTAACCATGAGCATGGAATGTTTCTCCATATGTTTGTGTCCTCTTTTATTTCCTTGAGCAGTGGTTTGTAGTTCTCCTTGAAGAGGTTCTTTACATCCTTTGTTAGTTGTATTCCTAGGTATTTTATTCTCTTTGTAGCAATTGTGAATGGGAGTTTGCTCATGATTTGGCTCTCTCTTTGTCTGTTATTGGTGTATAGGAATGCTTGTGATTTTTGCACATTGATTTTGTATCCTGAGACTTTGCTAAAGTTGCTTATCAGCTTAGGGAGATTTTGGATTGAGATGAAGGGGTCTTCTAAATATACAATCATGCTGGGCGCTGTGGCTCACGCCTGTAATCCCAGCACTTTGGGAGGCCGAGGCGGGTGGATCACTAGGTCAAGAGATCAAGACCATCCTGGTCAACGTGGTGAAACCCCGTCTCTACTAAAAATACAAAAAATCAGCTGGGCATGGTGGTGTGTGCCTGTAGTTCCCAGCTACTCAGGAGGCTGAGGCAGGAGAATTGCCTGAACCCAGGAGGCAGAGGCTGCGGTGAGCCGAGATCGCACCATTGCACTCCAGCCTGGGTAACAAGAGCGAAACTCCGTCTCAAAAAAAACAAAAAACAAAAACAAACAAATAAATAAATATACAATCATGTTGTCTGCAAATAGAGACTATTTGACTCCCTCTTTTCCTAACTGAATAGAGGGTGAGGAGACTTTCTTAGGACTGCAGCCTTTGGAGCACAGCCCACTGCATAACAGGCTTCCCTTGCTGTATTTTACCAAGTGATTGCAGCCTAGTTGCTCATCCCTAGTGTTATGGACTGAATTGTTTCCCCTCCAAATTCACCTGTTGAAGCCCTAACCCTCAGTGTTATTGTATTCGGAGATGGGGGCTTTAAGAAGGTAATTAAGGTTAAATGAGGTCATAAGGATGGGCCCTAATCAAATCGGACTGGTGTCCTTTTAAGAGGAGGACGAAACACCAGGAGTGCGCATGCACAGAGGAAAGGTCGTGTGAGGACCCAGCAAGACGGCAGCCGTCTGCAAGCCAGGAGGAGAGGCCTCCCCAGAAACCAACCTGCTGGCACCTTGATGATGGACTTCCAGCTTCCACAACTGTGAGAAAATACATTTTTGTTGTTCAAGCCAAACTGTGATGTTCTGTGATGGTAGCCTTAGCAAACTAAGATGCCCGGATTAGAAAAGCTACAGATGGAGGAGAACTCAGAGAGAAAGGCCAGGGTGCATGGATGGTCGTTTTGGCCAAGAGGATCCCATATAGGCCAGGGCCATGCTACATTTTTCTGGAAGCTTACAGGCTTCAATCTGATGTGCACGTAATCCTCTTCTGGCAGAATGCAAGTTCCTGATGTTGAAAATAAAGAGCTTAAGGAAGCCTACTAAAATAATTCCAAAGGCTTCCTGAATATCAGATGGCCCTCGCTGAAGAGCATTTTGATTTCAAAGTCCCAGACGTGCGCCTATCAGATTTCCCTCCAAGTGCGTATGGTTTTGCCACAGGCATTGAACTCCACCTCTTCTGTTCTCTTCTCCTTGTCCCGAATTTGGGTGGTTTTTCTTGGCCATTTCTGATGTCTGTATGTCAGTCTTTCCTTCCCTGTCCTCCAGATTAGCTGCTTTTCTCTCTTGGATTTGTCCACAGATCGCTTATTTCTGTAAGACCTAGTTATTGTTCAGATAGTCTGTGCTGTAGGCAAATAGAATCTGGTAAGCAAGGGTCAATGGAAGGAGGAGGCTGAGAGCAACTGCCAAGGGCATGTGGGTGGGGCAAACTGGGCATTGACTGGCTCGTAAGGATGGGCCTGGGGTGGGAGCTGGTGTGCCCAGTGGGGGACTGAGGCAGAACTCAAATCAAGGAGGAGAAATGGGTTCAACGCCGTGGAGGGTGCCCAGCATGGTGCATAGCCCGTGTCTGCAGAGTCCATTTTCAAAGCCACTGACTTCATCCCTGACCCTTTGCTCTATTTTCCCAGGTTCTAGCCCCTCGCCTTGCTGCCAACCTCCCCATTCACCTCACTCACTCACCCGGTTTCTCTGAGTTTCATGCTAGGTAGTCTTTCATCTCTTTCTTGGCTTTGCCTTCTCACTGGAGACTCTCAGGGCAATGTCACCATCCCAGGACTTTTCTTAGGGTTGAGAGTAGGATCCCAAGAGGCGGCAGTGACTGGCTGAGACTCACTTATCTCAGTTTCTCAGAGTGAGCTCTGGCACACACTGCATGAACTCATGGGCTCATGAAAGTTTTACCTACTGAGTTAGTAACTGGGTCGGATGGGAAGACCTAAGGAGGAAGTAAACTTGGAATTTATACGCAGGAGTGAGGACTACAAACTTAGGGCTCATCTACTGTGGGACTCCTCAACCCTGTAAGGTGCACTGGGATCTCCTTAACACACAGATTCTGATGTAGTAGGTCTGGGGAGGGGTTCTGAACTCCGAATTTCTAACAAATGCCCAGGTCATGGAAACAAATTCCCAGCTGCTAAGAACAGCTCAAAGAGGCTGGTGTGGTGTCTTATGCCTGTAATCCCAGCACTTTGGGAGGCCAAGGTGGACGGATCACGAGGTCAAGAGATCAAGACCATCCTGGCCAACAAGACAAAACCCCATCTCTACTAAAAATACAAAAATTAGCTAGGCATGATGGCGCGCACCTGTAGTCCGAGCCACTCGGGAGGCTGAGTCAGGAGAATCACTTGAAACAGGGAGGCAGAGGGTGCAGTGAGCTGAGATCATGCCACTGCACTCCAGCCTGGCAACAGAGCGAGATTCCATCTCAAAAAGAAAAAAAAAAAACAGCTTGAAGGTAGTTCATGCACTTTCAGGCCCCACAGCGTCGTGTTAAGGGACAGGTACCCATGCTGGAATTTCAGGTACCGGGAAAGCTGGCATGTTTTTGAGTACTGTGGGCCTCTAGTCAGCCCTGGTAGGTACCTGGTACTCCTCCCCTGAGTCTCATCAGGCTTGGATCTGTAGACAGAGGTTTCCAAGCCCCAGCTGCTTTAGAATCGCCGGGAGAGTTTGTAAAACACAGCTGACTGAATGCCCCCGTCCCCGACTTTCGAATTCCATAGTTCTGGGGCGGGGCCCAAAATTTAGCATTTCTAATAACTTTCCAACCACTGCTATAGAGTAACTGAAACCAGGGCACCGGGTGGGCCCTACGATGCAGGACCAGACAGTGCTGAACTTGAATCTGATTCTGCTCTTTACAACAACGTGGTCTCCTCCAAGTCACTCCTGTTCTCTGAGAACCAGTTTTCCATGTACACAGGGGTGATAACGGCCTCACTCTGCAGGGTTGCTGAGCAGATGAGCGCTAATGTTTGTGATGGCTTTCCCAAATGTTGGCCCTTAAGGCTCATTTCCCAGTCTGCAATCAAGGGTCCAACTGCGGCTGTCGCACCAATTAGAAAGCTGTTTTTGGTTGTTTTAATTGCTTGACTTACCCTGTGGAATCAAGTGGATTAACCAAATGAATTGGAATTTTTTTTTTTCCAAGACACTGTTTGGGAATGTGGGGTCTAGAAGACCCGCATCCCAATCATCTCGGGCGGGGCTGCTCAAACTTTAGTGTGCACACATTACTTGGGGATCTTGTTTAAATGCAGATTTTTATATAGTAGGTCTGGGATGGGGCTTGAGAATTTGCATTTCTGTTGATTGATTGAGACAGGGTCTTGTTCTGTCTCCCAGGCTGGGGTGCAGTGGCACAATAGCTCACTGCAACCTCGACCTCTGGGGCTCAAGCGATCCTCCACTCAGCCTCCTGAGCAGCTGGAATTACAGACATGAGCCAGTGTGGACGGCTGAGAATGTACATTTCCAACACTCTCCACGTGGTGCTGATGCTGCCAGTCCCAGGACCATACTGAGAATAGCAAGAATTCTAGAACAATGTCAACATAAAAATTTATTTTCTTTTTTTCTTTAAAAAAACTTTTTTTGAGACAGAGTCTCTGCTGGAGTGCAGTGGCATGATCTCGGCTTACTATAATCTGCCTTCCGGGTTCAAGCGTTTCTCCTGCCTTAGCCTCCCGAGTAGCTGGGATTACAAGCATGCGCCACCATGCCCAGCTAATTTTTGTATTTTTAGTAGAGATGGGGTTTCCCCATGTTGGTCAGGCTGGTCTTGAACTCCTGACATCAGATGATTTGTCTGCCTCAGCCTCCCAAAGTGCTGACATTACAGGCATGAGTCACTGTGCCCGGCCCACTATTAACACAAAAATTTATTGGCCCTGCCTGGACCTATCCTGTAATTTCCTCAGGTAATCCTTTCATGGACTAAAGTAGGAAAGCTATTCTCTCAGTGCTCACCTTACTCTTGCTTTTTAAATTTAAGCTACAGCCCAAACAAAGGGAGACTTCAACATCACACAGCAATTCCACACCATTTCCTGGGGAGGCAACAGGAAGCAGAGGTGGCTCCGAGTCTCACTTCTGTAGCGTACCAGCTGTGTGATGCTGAGCAAATCATTTTACTTTCATTTAACTCTTCTGAAATAATCTGCTCCTCTGTATAGCGGGCAAAATAATACCTGTCCTTATAATGGGTCATTGTGAGTCTGGATGACCCACTGTCCAAAAGCACTTTGGAAATTGTTAATTTGCAAATGCGAAGGATTATCTTTAAAAAATGGAAAAACTTAGACAAAACTTTCTCTCAGCTTATGATAAATTCATTTTATGTGGGTCCTTTGCTACAGTGGCTGAGTGCACAGAACAATGAAGACAGTATAATATTCGGGTGTTGGTCCTAACTTAATTCAATCATAAGGTTACAAGACTTTTGAATTTTGACCACCTTTAAAGACAGGCAGTGGGTGTGAATATATCTCACTTAAAGGTTGTTTAAATCATTAAATGTACATTACGTTAACACATGCAACAGCTAGAGAGTAACTGGTAATAGCAGAGGCCTTCTCCAGCTTAAAGTTAGTAGGATTTCAAAAGCAAGTCTCGAACTCCTGACCTAAAGTGATCCACCTACCTTGGCCTCCCAAAGTGCTGGCATTACAGGTGTGAGCCACTGTGCCTGGCCCAAAAGTAAGTGAGTTGTTTGAAGCTTCAGAACTAATTTCACAACACAATTAATGTTGTAAATGTTGTTTGAATTCCTACGCTAGATCACAAGCCCATTTGCCTATTACCACGGCCAAATTCAGCTAAAAAAGTAATATTAATAGTAATAATGTGTAAAGAGCATAATAGTTTACAAAGCATTACTTTTTTTTTTTTTTTTTTTTTTATAAAGATGAGGTCTAGTTATGTTGCCAAGACTTGTCTCAAACTCCTGGTCTCAAGTGATCCTCCCACCTCAGCTTCTGGAGTAGCTGAGATTACAGGCAGGGGCCACCATCCCTGGCTACAAAGCATGTCTATATCCAGTAACTTGAAACCCTCAGCTATATCTTCTGATAGGATGTTACTTCCTTTCCATTTCAAAGATGAGAAAACTGAGGCATAGAGAGGCCAAGACCTTGTGCCTCGCCTGCCGATTTCAAGATGTATGTCTTTACCATCTTCTAGAACCAGTCCCAGTCAGCAGCGTTCTAAGTGTGTGCCTGCATCTGCAAGACTGGGAGTTCCCCTTCACCTGCACAGTGTCCCACCTGTCAGTGGGAGATTCAGCAGCACAGGGCCAAGGGCAGAAGTATTAGGAGAGAGGGAGGCGACCTTAGTATTATAGTTTTTGAGGGATGCCTGTTGCCCCTGGGGCTCCTAGTTACACTGTCATTAATTCCAAGGAACCTGACTCATCTATAATTAGAAGTAAAGTTACTGATTCTAATTTAAGCAAAAGAATGGGTGTATTGCTTAGGATTCATTCTGGCTGCTAATAACTGAGACCTGTGATCATATTGGCCTATGTAAGATGGAAGACTTTTTTTTTTTTTCCTCTCTCCTACAGCCAGAAGGCAGATGATACAGCACTGGTGTGGTAGTTTCATAAACTCCTCAGGGGCCGGGCTCCTCCTTCCTTTCTCTCCACCATCTTCAAAGCTGGTTTCCATCCTCAAGTTCATTTTATGGCTGCAATACAATCACTGTAGCTCCAACCATCTCATCAGTATTCCAGGTAGAAAAAAGAAGAGAGAATAGACCAAAAAAAAGTGCGTCTCCCAGAGGAGTTAGTGCCTTTAAAGCTGGGGTACATTATACACACAGTAAACTCCATGTTTTCTTTCTTTCTTTTTTTTTGAGACGGAGTTTCGCTCATTACCCAGGCTGGAGTGCAATGGCGTGATCTCAGCTCACCACAACCTCCGCCTCCTGGGTTCAGGCAATTCTCCTGCCTCAGCCCCATGTTTTCTTTCTAAGGAAAAAGGGAGATTAGGTACTGGCATCTCTGCCTCGTTGGGATTCTGGTAACTCCTGGAACGGAAGGATAGGACCAGGGCGAATCTGAACATCTCAGGAACCCACAGAATGTCTCTTTAGGGGGCTGCTGTAGGATAACTCTGCCTCTGCCTTCATTCCCTGAGAATATCCACTCGATTCGAATTCCCAGGAGGAGAGCCTAAATGTATGTTTAGCCTAGTTGCCCATTGGATGGTCAGGGAAATGGGGTTCCACAGTTGACACCCCCCAAAGTATATGGACTGGGGCAGGATCCTTCCCCAAAGGGAGTGATCTGGGAAGGAAAGACTCAGAAGTGTCCTTCTGGCTTCATCTGTTCTTCCATTTCATTCTCCCTGTTCCAGCCCCTGACTCTTCTGAGCAGACAGAAGGC